GCGGGTCGTACGGAAAGCTATAGGGGACATGCGCATAATTCAAAATCGAATGGAGTTTTAACATGGGAGTGATATCACACACCGCGGCCCAGTCAGACAGATTTCATCGCGCACTGAATGAATTACAGGGGCCGCGTTGTGCAAAGTTAATTAAAATAAAGTGCGCAGAAATTCCGGCATTCAGTGCGCGATGAAAAAATGATTATCTGTGAATAAATAACGAATAAAAATTCGTGGCACCACGAATTTGATTTTTTTCGAAAGACTGCGGAGTGAACCAGCGAAATGACAATTTTGGATAATATTGATGGCTCTAACGAGGAGAACTTTGAGATTTCCCGATTCTAGCGCGCAGCACATCCAGGACCATGATGCGCACTTTTATCAGATTCGATTCTAATATGGTTTCAAAGATAATGTTCATTAAAAGAGGGCGTATGCATACAGATTACACGTGGCGTTAGGTTGAAGTGACCCTTGCAAAGGGTTCCATTGAAAATATATTATTTTGGGCCATTTCATATCTTTTAATTGATATTGTATAAAATATTTTCAATGTTTGAAAATTATAATCTTATAAATAACATTTTATGTAATAAAACTGTAACGAAATGGTAAATACGGAATATGATGCAATACAATGCAGTGCAATATGATGTTATACAAGGCAGTGCAATATGATGCAATACAATGTGGTGCAATATGATGTAATACAATGCGGTGCAATATGATGCAATACAATGCAGAGCAATATGATGCAATACAATGCAGTGTAATATGATGCAATACAATGTAGTGTAATATGATGCAATACAAAGCAGTGTTATATGATGCAAAAAATGCAGTGCAATATGATACAATACAATGTAGTGCAATATAATACAATAAAATGCAGTGCAATACGATGCAATACAATACAGTGCAATATAATGCAATACAATGCAGTGCAATGCAATACAGTGCAAAACAATGCCGTGCAGTGCAATACAATGTAGTTCATTTCAATACAATACAGTGCAATACAATGTGGTACAGTGCAATACAATGCAGTGCAATACAATACATCGCAGTTCAATACAGAGCAATACAATGCAGTGCAATGCAGTGCAATAAAATACAATACAATTCAATACAATGCAATACAACACAGTGCAATACAATACAATGCTGTGCAATACAATACATTACACTGCAATAAAATACAATGCAGTGTAATAAAATGCAGTGTAAATCAAGACAATGCAATACAATACTGTGCAATACAATACAGTGCAATATAATACAATGCAGTACATTGCAATGCAGTGCAATACAATATGGTGCAACACAATGTGGTACAGTGCAATACAATGCAGTACAATACAATACATCGCAGTTCAATACAGTGCAATACAATGTGGTGCAATGCAGTGCAATAAAATACAATACAGTTACAATGTAGTTCATTTCAATACAATGCAGTGCAATACAATGTGGTACAGTGCAATACAATGCAGTGGAATACAATACATCGCAGTTCAATACAGTGCAGTGCAATACAATACAGTGCAATACAATACATCGCAGTTCAGTGCAGTGCAATACAATACAGTGCAATACAATACATCGCAGTTCAGTTCAATACAGTGCAATACAATGTAGTGCAATGCATTGCAATAAAATACAATACAATTCAATACAATGCAATGCAATACAGTGCAATACAAAACAATGCTGTGCAATAGAATACAGTACACTGCAGTACAATACAATGCAGTGCAATAAAATACAATGCAGTGTAATAAAATGCAGTGTAATTCAAGACAATACAATACAATACTGTGCAATACAATACAGTGCAATATAATACAATGCAGTGCACTGCAATGCAATGCAATACAATATGGTGCAGTGCAATATATTGCAGTGCAATTCAAAACAATCCAGTGTAATACAAAGCAGTGCAACACAATGTGGTACAGTGCAATACATTATAATGCAGTGCAATACAATACAATGCAGCGCAATACAATGTAGTACACTGCAGTACAATACAATGCAGTGCAATAAAATACAATGCAGTGCAATATAATATAATACAGTGCAATACAGTACAATTTAATGCAATAGAATACAATGCAGTGCAATACAATACAATGCAGTGCAATACAATTAAATGCAGTACAATACAATACAATGATGTGCTATACAATACAATACAATGCAATGAAATGCAATTCAATGCTATGAATGTACACCTTCTACAGTCAAATCCCAGCAAACAGTGACGTCCATGTGACGTCTCTCATATGTGGTATATAAGTT